GTGGATTGGAGATCCAGGTGGGATTAGGTGTTCCTGGGATGTTTCAATAACACTATTGCTTTGGCCTAGCTCAGTTTAATGGTGAAGGGCTGCTTGCAGATGAGGTGTCTGGGCAGCTGCCCACGATAAGGAACTGTGTCAGATCACTGTCATGAGGTTTTACACTCTCCAGCCTTTGAAATGATAGAAACCTCTGATTTCCAATTTGTTTGCTTTTTGCAGAGATGAACCTGAGCAAAATGAAATGGCTGTTAATTTTTAAGTCTCCAGATTGGCTTTTTAAGTGCCATTTGCAGTCCTTTGGGTAAGACTGATTTATTTCACAGAACTCTGGTGCAGATTCCCTGTGTAAAGGATTTCCCCTGGGTTACTGGGCTTTACCAGCCAGGTGATGATCATCATCTGGAGCTGCAGCACACAATAACGCCTGGAACAAATTCAGGAGAGGAACGATTCCCCAATAACTTTCTCCACCCCAGCAGCTGCAGGATGCACAGAATGCAGCAGTTTGAAGCCGTTGCTGCAGCTCTGCTGTGGTGCCAGGCGATGGCAGTGCTGATGGCTCCTGAGCAGAGCTTTCCCTGCAGCCGGGGCTGAGCACGCCTGGGGCTCTGCACGGAGCTGGAGTGCTGCTGGAATGCAAGGTACAGTTATTTGTAAAAGCAAGTCATCCCAAAATACTCAAAAGAAGATGGAAATCATTTCCATTTTTGAGCTTTTCAGGAGTTTACCTGGTATCCATACACATAAAGCAAGTCTTTAGAGCTATGCAATGCTCTTTCAGCTGCTCCGTGAGACATCTGACCAAGCAGGTAATGGATTTGTTCCCCTTCTCTCACTATCAGGCCCTGAAGGTCCCCTGAACCAAGTCAACTAAACAAGTTTCTTCTTCCCCTGGCTGCTGGCCTCACAATTCCTGGGCTCCAGGCCCATTCCTCCCTTCCTTGCTGGCCTTGAAGGTCCCAGGCTCCCAGCCAGCCCTGTGCTGCTGCTGCTGTAAAATGATGGAGTTAGAAATCCTCAGGGGAGAGCTGGGACCCAAACTGCTGCTGGGCAGTGACCTGTGACCCCTCATGGCCACAGGTGCCTCCACTGTCCTCTGCTTCCTCAGGACTGAGTGGCTCATTCTGTGACATGATTTCCAGGTCTGTGTGATTGTTACATTGATTTACTAAACCATGTGTTAGGATCCTCAGACTTGCAGAGGATTCAGGCTATAAAAAAGTTATAAATTTTGTATTGTGCTATTTACAGATTGTACCATATTGATGCTACTTGTAGAAATCCTGTGCCATACTAATCATAAATTCTGTGGTATGCTAATCTGAATGTCCTGCTGAATATTATGGATTGTAACTACAATTTAGTGCTGTCTTTATTTTGCCAAAGATCCCTAAAAGAACCCATCTGTCCCCTTAGTATCAGGTGTAACAGGTGTAATTCCAAGTGGAAAAACCCAGGAATATTTCCACTGACAGAATGTTGTCTTTGCATACCTTGGGCTATGGGTTGGAGTTGGTAGAACTGCATTTCATCCTGCAGCTGGTGTTCAGACATCTGGAAGCCATCTCTTTGCATTTCCAGGTAAGCTTAGCTTTATATACAGCACTGCAGAGCCCATCCTGCTCTCAGCAACAGCACAGCCTCTCCATGAGAGGAGTCTGCTGCTGCTCTTGCCTTGCCAGGGCAGAATAAACAGAGCAACAGCAGCTGGCTGGCTGTGCTGCTCCCAGCAGACGTGCTGGGACTGCCACTGTGTTCTGTGTGCTCCCAAAAATCGGCAGCAGGGGACAAGCCCATGACAGCAGAGCCTCTGGAGTGGCATCAGCTGCAAGCAGTGTGAGCCGAGAGTGGCACTGATGCACAACCCCAGGGACGTCCCACTTGATGCAGAATGGGACCTGAATGGCCAAACTGATCTCACTCCTTCCTCAGGGGCAAAGCAAATTTCCAGGTGTTTGCACCATTTACCTGCTTCTGAAATGGGGATGGTGCTACACCTGGTACAAGTAATTCACATTTTTAGGTCTTGGTTGCAAGGTAACATGAGACTGAGGCAGCACCACAAAGGGGAGCATGTGCCTTGGGAACACTCCTGCATGGCCAGAGTAATTCCAAATGTTTGTGTTGCATCAGTTCTGCAAATGCTTTTTGTTACAGTGCATAAAAGATACAATACCTGCCAGCATTAGCTGTGTAAAGAGAGACTGTTTTCTTCTGTTGACTAATTATGCAGTGAATATATTCAGTTTGAAGGGACACTTCAATAATTCAGCAGGCATGTGCCAGGTAATACAGGAGCTTTTGTCTTACTGGTGGCACAGATCTCAAATCGTGTGTAACCCAATCCCTGGCTTTATGTTTTCAAGGAAGTGTTTGGTATAGCTCCTGTATCAAGTGCCACTGAAAAGCAGGCCTAGATAAGAGATTAAGGTAATACTCTTCCCTGGGTATAGGGAAAGTTTACCCTTTGCTGCCCAGGGTGTCCTGCAGGCAGGAAGTGCATTATTGTGTGAGCTGTGGATGTGCTGGCATCCAACAATGAGTTTGTTGCAGGAATGGGAAAATGCTGCAAAGTGCATGTTAAATACCCAGGTCAGCTAAGCCTGTCCTCAGGGGTGTATTAACAAATGCTTTGTAGTTTGACAGGGAATGCTTTCTGTCACTCATGTTTATTAAATGCAGATTTTTGATTTGCTGGAGCAGACAAGGAGAAGGGGTAATGTTCAGTTCCTGGGAACACTGTGAAATAAAACTCGAGTAACAGATTTTCTTCAACCCTTCCCAAGGTACTTCCTCACAGTTGTGCCATTTCCCAGAAAGGTGTAGGCTCAAATGTCCTTTTCTGACCCATTGCCAACTGCTTCAGTCACCTCCCTTCCCTTGCCTATAAAACGCAGCTCACTACTGATCTACAGCGGAGGAGATCCATTGTGTTTAGAATATGCCATGAGTACTGCAGTCAGTAAAGGGCAGAGATAATGCAGTAGCTCAAACTATTCTCCAATGACTAAACTGGAGTTCAAATACAATCTTTACAACCCTTTTTTCCTTTGGAAGGACAGCTGTCTGCCATGCTCCTGCTGTAACAGTGGGATTTATATGGAGTCAGGTATCACTTACTGACAGGTAATTGCTTTCTGCAGATACCTGACTCTTTTCCTTGGAGGTCTCTCTTTTCTAAGTAATGTTCATTCTTGGTCGGTAGCAGCAGGGTTGCAGACAGCAGTTGGTTGTTTAGGCATTAATGTTTAATTTGCAGAGCAGTATCGATATAATTGTAAAGAAGAATGTGTACATTTGTGGAACATTGTCAGGCCTCAAACATGAGTATGTAGCATTTCAGAAACACTTTAACTGGGCTGGAACAGCTTTGCAAAAAAACACAGAAAGAGTCTATTTAAAGAGAACAGCTTAGCAAAACCTTGTCACTGAACCCTTGTAGCTTTTGTTCAGCCCTTGGCTGCGTGATGCAGTGGGAGCCATTCTGCAGCGCTGACCTGTGTCTGTCACAATGGCTGAGCTCATCCAGTTCATCATCTGGGCACCTTTCTTTGGTGGTCCTGCAAACAGCAGCAGGGAGACGAGAGAGAGAATGATTCAATTCCCCAAACTGTTCTGAACGTGGCTTGGCCCAGGGTAACATTTCCCACTAGTGACCTACTTGCTACTTAACAGGGATGGTGCTGTCACAGCCACACTTCTGGTAATGAAACAGAGGAGTGGTTTTTCTCCCTGTAGGCTGATGAAAATGTCCTTTGAGATAAGACTGGCCCTGGCACCACAGGGCTGGCAAAAAGGAAAACCATATTCCAATGCAGAATGCATTTCCTCATTTAGTACTGATCCACACACTTCATTCAGGAGCTTGACTTCAGAATACAATCAGCCCATCTGCCAGCCTTTTTGTCTTCCTGAGAATGCAAAACCTGCCCTCTTTATTACCTTGCACTTTTCCCTGTGTGCTTCCCCACTAACTAAAGGCATGACGGGCACTAATTGGGCCGTGTGATTTAGCAGTGGCCTGCCTTTGTTTCTCTTGTCATGTTCAGCTGATGTCATTGTCCTGTTGCAGTGCTGGGGACATCGTGTTGCTGCCTGTTGAGCTGTTGATGATTTTCCCCATCAGGAATCACTGCTCCAGCAGACTGGATGTGGTTGTTGGACTGTCAGGAACCAGTGGCATTGCCCAAGTGAATTTTGACCCTCCAGCCAGTGATTATGCTGCTCTGCTGTGGCACCATCATAACTGATTCTTTTTGTAAAATGCCCATTTTGGACTTTTTGAGATCATGCAGAAGCTGGAATCATCCTGCCCAGATTTCAGTGCAGGTAACTCTGTTTTTCTTTTTAAATACCTTTCCAGGCTCCATGGAAAAAGCTTCTGTATCCAGTGCTGATATGTTGTTTTGTTGTCTTGACATTCCAATTGTGTTTATATCCTGTTCAGAGCCACTGCAACCAACCTTTGCTGCCTTGTGTTTAAATAGAGTAGACATGGTAACTAGAAGGCTCTAAGAGTTTCAAACAAAACCTTTAAGGAAGGTTAATTGCCATGCTAATATTTTTTATTTTTGTGTATTTTCTTCTGCACCTGGCCAGATTCATCGTGGCCATTAAATACTTTGTAGAAGTATCACAACTGAAAAAGTGATACCAGAATAGATGGATCATTTATCTCATTGGATGTGATGTGACCGAAGAGTCTGGATTAGTGAGGACTAAAATACAGCAACCTGGGGAAAAGGAGCATGAGTTAAGGAGGGGATCCATGGGTGAGACCTGGCTGTGCTCACCTGTGGGAAGGGGGATAGAAATTGGGTCTGCCCCAATGCTATGGATGAGTTCCAGCTCTGGAGCCACTTGTCTTTTGCTTTTAAGAATATCTGTTTTGTCCATACAGCTGTGCTCTACATCCCAGAGCTGAGACATCTTGTTTAATGTTCTGTGTCCTGACTGCTCCCTGGTTGGAGTGGGTGGACAGCTCCTGCTCAGTTTGTGCTACCAGTGTCACGTGCACTCCCATGAAAAGGTCATGAGATGTGGCCCTGGCAGATTTGGCACAGATTGTTAGAAGCCTTCTGGCATTTTCTTTTTTTAAATCAGAAAATACCACTTAGTTTTAACATAACTCCACAAATATTTGAAAAAAAGGATAATTATTAATGCTGTTTCAAAAGGCCTTACTTTTTCTGCTTCCTTCCTTTAAAGAATATTAAGTGATTTCATCTTCATTTTAAAATGTAGTTTTATGGTTTTCAAACTTCAAAAGTATGACGTTACAATTAATATTTTCCCAAAGTACAGCATAAAATTGAAATAGCAAAAATATTTGCTTAACTATTTTGAGATGGAGTTTGGATGTTTGACTCAAATGGAATGTTTTTTTCTAAAAAACTTTTCAAGGGAGGAAAACCCTTCTGATGATTAAATCCCAGCCTGAGAGAGATGGGACAATATTTCCATTAAAGAGAGACAGAGTTTCTGTGCAGGAATTCAGGGAAGGAACAGTATCTTTATTGGAGGTGGTGTTTAGCAGGTGATAACAAGTGGTTTCATCTCCTTATCCTTCTCTCCCTTCTCCCAGTGCCTTGCCTCGCAGATTTGGGGATACCTGAGCCAGTTCCTGAAGAGACTTTTCCCCCATGACATCACCAAAGGCAAAGGTGGAGAAATAGGCAGTATTTTGGCCTACATATTTATTGTTCTGCTGGGATGTAGATGCTGTCATAGCAGGAAAATGTTTTCTGGATCTCTCTCACAGCTCCTGCTCCCCAGTGCTTACTGCCAATGGAGGAGTTGTGGTAGAAAATCTGTCCCAGAAACCACCATCAGTTGTTTGCTTTGCCCTGTTCCTTTTCTGCTTCTAACCCTTTATCATCCCTTTCCTGCCCTCTACGAAGTAAAGAAGAAACTAAGATCAGCTAGTGAAGGATTTCCTGGATTGGTTGCATAATTTAGCTGCAATATGAACATCTGCACTTTTCATTAGTCATTCTCCAAGAGGTCAAAGAGAGACCATCCCCAAGGTCACAGGAAAGGCAAGGGTTACCATTGCACTAGGCTAAGACATTACAATAGTGATGATGACAAAACTATTTGGCAGAGGTGCCAGCAATGCCAGCAAACAAGCCACCATCCTACCAAGGGCAGTATTTTGATTGCCCAGAAAGCCAGCCCAGCTCCCTGCTGTCACACTGTCACAATCCCCAGCTGGCAGGCCCAGGCTGCAGCCCCAGCCCAGTGTCATTCCAGCTCCCCAGAGTGTTTTGCCAGGGCTGGGGAGAGTCTCTACACACAGCTCCCAGGAGCTGTACCTGGATAAACAGTGAACTGGAGATGGTGGAGGAAAAATTCCCCAAGGGCAGAGTAAAAAGCACCAAGAAATGTAGGTGTGACCGCTCAGGGTGGCTGCAGCACATCTTCACCACTGAAGGGACACCACCACAGGGGTCACTGAAGCACCTTTCCTTGCTGACCTAGTCCTTCCTGGTCCCAAACAGGTGCTTCATCCTTCCCCTGACACACATGGCTGGCACAAGGGCCTGTGGAAGGAAAAGTGCCCAGCTGTGCTCTGAGAAACTCCTGGGAAACGGTGATGGTGGCACAAAGAGCACAGCACAAGATTCCTGAATATGAGACATCCTCCCTGCTGGCAGTTGCAGAGGTATGAGCAATGTGATGGCACAGCCTCTTCGTTTCCTTGGCCATTCTTTATGCCTTTATTTTCATCTAGACTTACATCCAAGGCTTGCAGTGCACTTCCTGTGGCAAGAGCCTCCAAGCAATTATGAGGTCTGCAATGTCTCCTCCAAGCCTCTTGTTTTTCAGGAATCTTTTACCATGATTCTATTTGTCCTTTGTCATGGCATAGATGTGCAATTTTCATTTTGTGAAGGGACATCAAATGGGAGGGCAGGAAAGTTCAGGGAAGTAGAATTAGATTTTTAATGACATTTCCTTTAGCCATTAGAGTGTGGCTAATGCTTGATATGTTTGTGGTGCAGCAGAATTGAGTGAGGGGTCCCATTTGTTGTTCTCTCAGTCCCAGAGCTACCGACATCCATATCTATGGGGTTTTTTTTCATGCAGGTTACTGGAACATTACGCCTGATCACTCTAGATGCCCGCCAGAGCTAGTGGTCTGCTTGTGTGTAACAAGTGTAGCCAGCAAAAGGAAACAGTTCAGCTCTGGAATACTCAGAAAAGGAAATAGTCCTACTGGAGGATTCCTACAGAAACCAAAGCCAAAAAGCAGTCCTGACTGGGAACCTCCTCTGCTCAACTATTTTGTTACAAGTGGCCCAAAGAAGAACGACTTTCATTTTTCAATTCTTGTTGCAGCAGCAGCTCTGGGTTAAGCAATTGTTATGGTGTGCTCAGGGCATCAAACCAAAAAAATCTGAGAGAGAGGGCCCAGATGCAGAATTCCCTGCGATAACCTAAACCAAATGCCACTGAATGCAGCTCCCTCAAGATCTCCCTGCTCACAGCCTCGCTGGTGGCCAGCATCCAGACTGAGCATTAGTAAAACCAACAAACCAAACAGTTCCCACAGTAAGTCCCTTGCTCTCCAGTTAACTTGTTTAACTGTGGAGCTTTAAGGGGGATGTTTCATCTGCTGTTGTTGCAATAAGCGGGTATCCATGGCAAAACCCAAGGGCGCTGCCCTACAGCAATGAAGTCTTGGCTAAGCAGCAGCAGGAACTGGAAAAGGTCAGAGCTCCACAGTAGCCCTGCTCCATTTTAAAAATAAAGCCCATCATTTTGCTAAGAAACGAGGCAGGTTCTTCAGTGGCTTGCAGATCAGACCTGGAGTGTCTCAAATCAATTTTCCCAAAGACACCAGGGGAAGAAAGGAAAATGCACAGACAAGTGTGCAAGGAGAGCACCACTGCCAAGGGAGGGACAAGAACAGAAGGGACTTTGGGGCTTTGCAGAGGCCAAGGAACAAGGAACATTTTCCCTGCTGCTCTTTCCCCACCCCTGTCCTGTTCTTGCTCCCAAAGGTATAATTTCCTGCTATAATTTAGGCAGGTTCCATTTCTATATGGTTCTGTACCTGCATAGTCTTACAGTGCCACCTTCTCTAGGATTATCAGTGGAATCCAGCACATTGGTTTGGTGATCTGTAGCTGTTCCATTCCACCTCTTGGATAACGCTGCTGAAGTCCACCAGAAGGAGCCTTTGTGTATCAATTCTGCATAAACCTCGAGGAATGTATTAACATGTAAGTAAAAACCCAGTGAGTTTCTTAACGGTGTTGAATTATCATAAAATTAATCTTCCTAATCTGAATGAGAATGGGATGCTTTGGATTTGCAATACAAATTCTGTACATTAAAGATAGGGATGGTTGTACACCCACTGGAAACTATGACTTTTCTCCCAGCCTCCTCTGTGTAGTTTTATTTCTTAATAACAACAAAGGACTAAATGCACCCTTACAATGGCTTATATCAGGTCTGTGTTCTCCTTCTTGCTTGCAGTCTGCCCTTAGATTTGTGCTAAGCAATGTCCTGTCTTCACCAAGGCAGCTTCATACTTTGATATGTCCTTGCCTTTACAGGAGCTATCTTTGAGATAACTCAAAGTCGAAATATATTCTTCTCTTCTCAGGTACTCCTATTGTTGCAATAAAAGCATGGGGAGGTGTCAGCAAACTAGCTCTGCCAAGCTCCTTCAGCTTTGATCTGATGGCTGGATTTTATCTGTAGGTGTTTTGAGGAGGATGAGTGCTTTCCACAAGAACGAGGCAGAAAAAATAAAAGCAAACCAATTAACTTCCATAAAGTTATCCTTACTCACTTTCTCTTCCCTTTCCTGCTGTGTTTGTGGTAACAGCTCATTAGAGCCTGTGTTTGCAATAGCTGCACCATGAGACAGGAGATTTCATTTCCCCTCCTGCTTTCCAGGATGTGGCAGAACCAAGCACAGGTTTAGCCTTAACTCCTTTCTCTTTCTGGTCTGCCTGTAAGAAACTCCTGTTCCTGCCTCGAGGGAAGAAAGGGGCTGGGATTTCTCCCTAGGGGCTCATGTTTGAAGAAGAAAAAAGCCTGTGCTGCTTTTTCCCCCAGACAAGCATTAGCATGGAGAGCAGAGATGCTGCTGGTCCCTCTGGAGAACTTTGCCAGCCCTGCCTGCCCTGCAGAGGAGATGGGGTCTGCTTGGATGATTTGAATCCTTGCCATCATTTGGAGCAGAATGAAGCTCTGTAAAAGGACAGTGACTGAATGCCAATGGGGCTGTCATTAGCTCAGCAGCCCAGGAAGCAGCTGATGTGCTGTTTGTGGTGGAAGTCATGCAGACAGAAGGGGTGATTCGGGGATGGAGAGGCCCCAGCCCCTGGCTGCAGTCTGACTCCAAAGGTGTGTTCCAGGCTTGCTGTTTGGATGGACCAGGCTCCATGGACCATCCATTTGCTGTCAATTTTTCAGTGATCTTGGGTGCTGCTGGCCCAGCTCCATCTTTCTTCCACAGTAATCAAAGGAAATGCACCCTAGTCTTGAAGTCTGGTGGTTCAGGACTGAGAAGCTTAATGGCTTTCCTTGGCTTTTTTTTTTTCCCCTTTCTCTTTTATGAAGCATAGGGTGTTTAGAACTATGGAAGTGGTGCAAGAAAAATATTAATGAATAACTATGGAGTGCAGACATTAATGCATTCCTTTCTATTGAAATAACTGGCTTTTCTCTGTGGGGTCTGTAACAAAAAAAAAAAAAAAAGGTGTCTGCAGAGTCTGAACCTGCTGTATGGAAGCCAAAGTAGATGACGATTTAGAACTTCACTGGCTTTTTGTTTTTTTCCTAAAATGTTATAGCTGCATTTATCATGTTGCAAAAAATCTCTTTCTCTGAGAAATTATAAACCTAAGGCAGGGTAAATCTGCCTGATAAACCTAACAGGGGCAGTTCTTTAGATTCTGGATGATGGAAAGTATGAATAAATAATTATTTTTGGGATCCTCTCCCACACCCCAAACTCCAACTGATGCTTGAGAGGAGGAATGAAAGCCTTGCAAGCACCCCACCATTGGAGCTCCCCAGTGGTGGGTTACCAAGGGGTACACGCAGCAAATACGGGGCTGTGCCATAGTAACAATTCTCCCAGGTTTGAATCGCCACTCTGGGCAGAAACCTGCAGGTCAGGTCAGAGGCAGTGGCACTTTAGGGGCTGCCTCTCCTTTCATGGAACAAAATGCAAAAGGAGAGTGGAGAACCCCACTGCTGACTACCAGTGGAAATGGGAGCGGTGCACAGAGAGAGGCTGCACAGGTACATATCCAGCCACCCAGTGGAGAAGCAGAAGGCTTCAGAACCTGCTTGAGAAAGACAGTGCTGAACCTCTGTTCACCCCTTGACCCCCTCCCTGGCTGTTTCTCCTTAGCGATCCGGTTCAACACCACCCGTCTTCGACCGCGCCTTCGCCACCCCGCGTGCCACAAAGGCTGCCAGCTACGGACGGCTTTGTCCCCGCGCCCGAGGCTGCCAGGGACCAAACCCTCGCCGTTGCCGTGGTTGTGCAACAGCGGCGGGCCGGGGTGCGGGACACCCGCCGCCCAGGCGGGATCTTTGGCGGGCTCCTGCCGGGCGCTGCTCCCCGGGAGCCGCCGGGGCTGGTGGCGTGCGCGGGGCCCGGCCCGAGCCCCGGCCACGGGGACCGCGGAGCGTGCGGCGCTGCGTGGGGGCTGCGTGGGGGCTGTGTGCGGGTCGGGGGCTGTGTGCGGGCCGGGGTCCGAGTGCGGGCCGGGGGCTGTGTGCGGGCTGGGTCCGTGTGCGGGCCGGGTCCGTGTGCGGCCGGGTCCGTGTGCGGGCCCGGCTCGGGTGGGACCCCCGGCCGGGCGGGGCCGGACTACGCGCCCCGAGCGCCCCTGCGCGGCGGCGGGGCGGGGCCGCGCGGCCCTACAAAGGCGGCGGGGCGGCGCGGCCGCCGCTACTCACCGGCACCGGCGGGCGGGCGCGGGGCCGCGCTCCGGCTCCAGGCGCGGCCATGAGGCGGCTGTAGGGCCCCGGGAGCCGCCGCCGCTCCGCTGCCTTCGGCCGCCGCGGGGGTTCGGCGGGGCGCGGCTCTCGCTCGGGGTGGATGCCGGCCGCGGCCGGCCGCTCCCGGCACCATGCACACCGTGCAGAAGGACACCACCTTCACCAAGATCTTCGTCGGGGGGCTGCCCTACCACACCACCGACTCCTCCCTCAGGAAGTACTTCGAGGTCTTCGGGGACATCGAGGAGGCGGTGGTGATCACGGACCGGCAGACCGGCAAATCCCGAGGATACGGCTTTGTAAGTGCCGCTCCGCTCTGCTCCGCTCCGCGGCGGGACGGGCGCTGCCCCCGCTGCCCGCCGGGGAAGGCTCCGGCAGCGGAGCCCCGGGCTGCCGAGCCCGCCGGTGTGCCCGGCCGGACAAAGCCCCGGTGTGCCCGGCCGGACAAAGCCCCGGTGTGCCCGGACAAAGGCTCGGTGTGCCCGGACAAACCCCGGGTACCGCCGGGCGGACCCGTCCCGTGGCTGCCGCGGAGCTTGTGCCCGCTGCGGGAACGAGGGGCTCGGTCCGGACAAAAGCGAGCCTGGGGTCCCGGGAGGAGCCCCCCGCGCTGGCCGAGGGGTTCCGTTCGTTTCAGCACCTGCTTCCCCCTCCCGAGGTCCGTGCGGGTCCCCGCACTGCCCTGGGCTCCGCTGCTCCGAGGGTTTTGGGAAGGGCTCCAGCGGCTTCTTGAAAAAGGCTCGGGGAGGCGGTGGGAGGGCAGGGGAAAACAGCTGGCACCGGCCCAGCGGGGAGCGCCCGCTTTTCCAGCGAGTCCCAGGAGCCCTTCCCATCTCGCCGTGCAAGCGAGGCTGCACGAAGGGAGTTCAGCTCCCGATTCAAAATAGAACAATAAATAAACTCCACTTAGTGCCTGTTGCTGGAGTGTTTACAAAGCTCTGTTGCTACAAACAAGGCTGTGCTCGATTCCAGGTGACCATGGCAGACAGAGCTGCTGCTGAAAGAGCCTGCAAAGACCCAAACCCCATCATTGACGGCAGGAAAGCGAATGTGAACCTGGCGTATTTGGGAGCAAAACCAAGGAGTATTCAAACTGGTGAGCCTTCCAGGAGATCCCATCTCTCTGTATTAGAATAACTTGTAAGACAAGGAAAGAAGTTCCTCGGGCTGGAGTCATCTGATCTGACGATGCACATTTATCTGTCCCCCATAGTTCTGATTATTGGCTGAGGGCACTGCGTAGTCCAGTTACCTCTTTGCTGTGTCTTCTTCCTCAGCCCTGCTGCACTAATGTTACTCACCAAAGTTCATATAACTGTGTTAAAGCTGTTTCCTTCCACGGCAGATCTGTTTGCCCGTTAACCTCTTTGTTACATGAGAATGAACAGTAAGATCCACTTCGTCATTTCTCCCTCTGGTTTAATGACCGCAGTCCCCAGTGTGTAAAATAAGGCTTTATGCCCCATTGTCTGTTCCATAACAGCACGTTCACACTGGGCTTTCATCATGGATTCCCATCTGCTCCTCGTGCATATCACATACGCATGTTAAATTTAACTTGTTTCTAAATGGGGCTCTGAATTTGCTCACATGCATAGCAGTTCAAATGCAAAGACGTGTGGTGTAATTCTGCCTGTGTGTTACGAGTTGAGTGGTACAATGGATGCCATTCATTAATATTTCTTTTTTTTTCTGAACCTTTTTTTTTTTTCAGGTTTTACCATAGGTGTGCAGCAGCTACATCCAGCCTTCATTCAGAGACCCTTTGGGTAAGTGGAAATGATTCCTAATGGTCTGTTTGAAATCAGATTCACAAATCAACTTCCTTATTATTTAAAATGTGTGAAAAAAGCCTTCGCCGTCAAGAGTGGACAGTTTCAACAGCTGTTGTTAATGTTCAGAGTACTTTATTTCTGGTGGAGATTTCAGAAGTTTTGTGCATTTGTCAGCTTCAATGTAATTCCTAAAGATCCTTCTTTATCCTCAGTAAATCTTAGTCAAAATAAACCCAGTGCATTGCTCGCTGCTTTGCCAGCTTCAAGAATTCACAGGAATTCAAATAAATGGAAAATAGTTTCTCTATTATAGTACTTAAGGTGTCAAAACAATTAAGCAAATTCTGTTCTCATGTTTCTCAAATAAGATCCTCTGCTTCCTCTGTGCCATTTCCCACGTAATAACGCTTAGGATACAGTTTTATCCTAGAAAACAAATTGCATTGGAAACAAAGTCTGTTACTTAATGAAAGTAACATTAGGTCAAAAATTGATTTTGGACAGATGTTATACAAGGCTTGAATAGTCTGCAAAAGTGGGCTTTTGTCTGCTGTTTTCAATAGCTTATACCATCCCTACTCGGTTAGAAAAGTCCTCTTTTTATACATCTAATAGGATCTGGCAGCTGCTCGGCAAAAGACAAGTGTGCTTCACGAGAACAATAGTGACTGTCATACTGCCCTCATTTAACTGTTTAATGATTGATGCAGCTCTTTTTTTACACCATTTCAGAAAGTGAATATTGATAAGGTTTTTTATTATTGTTTTCTAAGAGCATTAAGAAACTAGGTGCATTTTTAAAAGCTTTTCAGCACTGCCCTGGTGTGGTTTTTGTGTGACTCTAATATAAATAGATGGGATTTTGGCCTTTGTCAACAGCAATACTTCATCCCTTCCCTGCTCTCCACTCAGGTTTTTTTTTTTGGGGGGGGGTGTTTTGTTTCTTTTTTTTTTTTTTAAAGGAAAAAAAATCTGCTAACAATAAAACTTTGATTCCTCTGCCCTTATGACCGCAGTTGCCAACTGCCTGGATAATCTCATTCCATGAGTTTAGGGATGTGAGAGGCTGTGTTGCCACAATAGTGCACACCCAGTGTCCGTGTGCTCTGTGGGGTTCAAACACGCCGCTTCTCGCAAGCGGTTACAGCTCTGCTGGAAAGCCCTGAAAAACATCTGCCATGAAAGGAAGAGTCTCCCCTTTTTTGGGGCAAGAGCCACATTAGTCTGCAGAGACCAAATGCTGCTTTTTCGCAGCTCTCCTTGCATGGGGGCTGCAGGAGCTTTCACTGCCCCCAAAGCAGCAGGACCTGGAGATGTGAACCCAGAGTTTTGCATGGGAGAAATTGCCAATAAAAGCAGCCTCTGGCAGGTCCTGCCACACATGGGAGGAGCAGAGAAGAGCAAAATGGTGAAGCCCGTTAAAACTCCTCTTGTTGGCAGGAGCACCTTGCAGATTATCTGTAGTTTTCTGGGTGCCCTTCCTACCCCACAGCCGCAGCTCTTGAAAACATTTTTTTTTCCAACAGTTTGCTTTTGGTTTCACATCCAGAGGAGTGTGGGATCGACTGATTACATGCTCCTTGTGATCTAGACAGTTCCTGTTGCAGTTCTTAGGCATTGGTTTCATCATTAAACCAGCAGAGCTACAGTTAGCACATACAGTGGAGAGCATTATAAATTATTTATCAGTTGCCAAGAGACAGGAACCAGGAGAATGGAAGGCTGGAGGCAGGGGATTATATATCATTATTTGCAAGCATCAGTAAACAAGACTTTAATTGAATTCAGTCATTGCTGCAGCAGAATCACTGGAAATGTGGGTTTTGCAGAATGTGTTTACCTGAGCACCACCTTTACCTGAGCACCACAACTGGGGCTGCTCTGTGGCTTCTGAGCAAAGCCTCAGGTGCTCAGTCGAGCAGCAGAGCTTGGCTGCCAGTTCCCTCTTTGTCTCCTCAGTAGACCAACAAAATTAAGAGCCTGCCAAGCTCCACTCCTGCATTCCCTTGAACCCACAACTTCCTTGGCCCCAGTGGGATGTGAGGGTAGATGAGGAGTTTATCAGGGTCTGTCACTGAATTGCTGTTGTCTGCTTGCACCACGACCTTTCCCAAAGGAAGCTCAGTGGCTCCGCTGCTTTGCCCCTGGTGTGAGATGTTGCCTGGCTCTCCCTCCTTCAGTTTCTGTCTCTGCAAAGTGTTTGTGCCCAGGGGTTGGCATTGTGGTTTCCAAAAGATGATTTTGATGGTGCACGGGGTGCTTGGTGGGCGAGCTGGGCTTGACAGGGCAGGAATGAATGAACAGCCGTTAACGAAGAGCAAGCAGCCAGTCATGTCCCGGCTATCAAGCCACAAAACGCAGGTTTTTGGTGAAACCTGAAATGAATGGAAACTATGAAAATCACCCAAACACCAGAGAGGATTATTTATAAACTGAAGGCTTCCCCCCCTCAGCCCCAGACACCTAAATGCAGCTGTAAATATTGCCAGGGCTATGCGGAACAGAAAGAGAAACCACGAGGAGCCTCTCTCCTTCCTCCTGCTGTCCTGGCAGGGGAGGCCCTTGCACAGCAGACAGCGTGGAGTCAGTAGTAAATCCTGTTTGGAAAAGAAGTTTCTAGCTTGTTGTAACCAGAGATCTTAACAGTAATGCAAGGCAAAGGATGTGTCTGTGTCAGGGTGACTTGGAGATCTGGCTGCTGAGTTTAGGGAAGCAGCATTGAGCCTGGGGCTCAGCCTGGGGCTTGCAGACTGTGCTTTGCTTGGAGGCACTTGGCAGTGGCAGAGTGTCCCTGCAGCTGCCATGCTTCGTGTGATCAGGTGATGTGGCAGAGCTGCTTGGTCCCACCTCGTGGTTCCCTCCTCTGGGACTCGAGGTGGAGGCAGGTTTGGGTCTGTGCAGGGAGTGGGGATTCCCTGGTTGACTGCTGTGCTTGCTGCTCTGGACGCAGCATATGGCAGATGCATTCCTGTGGCTGTGCCTCAGCGAAGGAGCTATCTGTGTGGGAGATCTACCAGTGACTGAGTAAGTGACTGAGCTCTTGCAAACATAAAACTGTCTCTTGTGGCAGGATCCAGCGCTTTCCATTGCTGCACACTGGATGTCATTGCTCCAGAGACCCCATCCATGTGTAGTTACTTGTTTTGGTGGCCCCCTGCCTCTGACCCACATTTGGTCTCTGGCAACGTCAGAAAGAGTTAAAACTCTTTGAGTTTAAAATTTCATGCGTTGATGCTGCTGCAGTTAGAAGTGAAGAAAGTCTCTCTTTGTGTCAGCCCAGCCTCTCTTGCAGCTGTTTATCCTTAAAATTTCTCTATTGGGTTAAAAATAAAAGGCAACAAACTTTCATCTTTTCTGTGGTTATGCTTATAAAAGGGCACGTGCTGTGTCCAGCCTCTGTCAGCTGGCATCCCCCTGCTCCCGCTTCCCGCTGCCCACTGGAGGCTGCAGGCTCCCATCCCACTCTGCCAGGCTCATGTGGATGGAGCACCCAGCACCTGGTGTTATCCTGTGCCAGGAACATGAAAGCTTGGGGGAGAAAAGAGGCATTTCCTAAGAAATGTCCAAATCCATTTTCCAAACAGCTTCAGCTGTGGTTCTCATGCATGGTGACCACTGTTCAGTGACCAAATGCTTGCCAGTCGGAAAGAAATCCTTTTCTTATTCTTTTATTATTTTATTTTGTGTTTTTTAAACATAAACATGTATTTATAAGCAGTTCAGACAGCTTTGAGAATTTTCTTGAACATCTACTTCAAGATGGAAAATGCTGGTGTCAGACCCAAGGGTTTGGTGTGCCTATTTTTTGGGGTTGGGGCAGAATTTGCTCATTTTCTGCCTGTAAAACAATACAAAAGCGTGGTCTGATACAGTGACCTCACACTTGGCTGTGTGAGTGATGTGTGAGCTCAGACCTGTTGCAAGGGACAGGCTCTGGGTGAAGGATCTGAGCCATTCCTGGGCAGTCGGGGCTCGGGCTTGTGTGTGATGGAGAGACAGCCTGAGCTGGGTCCAGCTTTGTCTTTACAGCACGTGGCTTGAGTTGTGCCTCTGCTCTCTGTGATTCCATTGCCTCTGGTGGATTTCCTCTTCATCCTCCTCAGCAGCAGAGACCTGATTCCTTTGTTTTGGTGCAGGAGCTGGGCAGTGGCAGATCCAAAATTCACCTGTGTTGCTCTGGCTGGTGCCACAGGGGCCCAAAGTGGCAGATTGATGCACACATCTGAATTTCCAGAGCAGCTCAGCTTGTGCTTGATCTCATGTTTCCTTTGAGCAGCTGTTGGCATATGGGCCCCAACTCATAGTATTAAGCACATGCCCAGCAATTCGAATGATGAATGCAGCCCTGGGCATCCTGCCCTGGCGCTGAGGGCACCAGCCAGGGAACCAGACAGTTGTTGTGCTGATAATTTGGTAGCAAGGACACCGGGTCACTTCTAAATACAACTTTTATGAAGAACTTGTTCCCCACGGATGGCAGCAAGCTACATACCAGAGCTAAATATACTCCATGATCACAAAAGATGAAAAGTCCTGGACCTCGGAGTTAAAACTCAGTCTCCTGTTTCTCAGTCTCCAAGTGCTGTAAACAGGGTTGTGCTGTCGCCTGCAATTTCCCTGTCACCAGCTTTGAGCATTTTAGCTCTCCTCTGTCAGAGCTGAGCTGCCCTGGCCAAAGCAGCAGAGGCTGGAAAAACCATGCTGGATCCAGGCATCCCCCATGATTCCAGCTTGCAGGAAGCTGTGGAGGGATTAGATTGAGATGTCTCAAACATTCTACTACCACGAAGGCACAACTGGCAGCAGAGATCACAAACTCATAAAATGGAATTTCTTTCTTGACTGAGAAATTACTAAATTACTTGTTTTATTGAGTGTAGGCCTTCTTTTATCAAAAAGAGGTATTTCATTGCTTTTTTCATAGCTGAAGCATTCTACTTCAAAATACCTCATCTCTCCAAGAAAGAGGTTTAGATAAATCAAATGAGTGGATG